GAGGCTGCCAACAGGAGGCCTTGCACAGGGGGAGTCCCAGACCAACCCCTCAGTGAGGGGCTCTCAGTTTCAGCCCCACCCCAGGGGAAGGCCTCCCTAGCCCTAAGGCCCCCTCCTCTTTCCCCATTGCACGATTTCCTCCAATGGTGAATGGTAGCAACTGGATCCGTGCCCGGCTCTTCAAGCAGGAAGGAGCAGAAAGCGCAAGGGGCACGATGCAGCCCCCTCCCCATTCTCTGAGGGGTAAAGATGGAAAGTCCTGGAGGATCCCACCACCACCTGGGTCTTCCTAGGACTGAGGCCCACCAGGGCAGATGCTGGGAAAGAGCCTGGATGGTGGAGCCAGGACAGAGGCCCAATGATGGCCCCACTCGGCGCCTGATCACCTCTCACCCCATGTCAGTGGACAGGTTTCCCCAGAAGCTCCACTATGATGGTGTGATGACCCAAAGGGGCGTGGCACGAAACAACAAAGTCACAAAAGTGTGTAAAGTCCCTTTAATTCTTCTAACTTGGCCCCCAATGTCCAGTTATCATCGGCTGGAGAAAAAAGCTCTCCCAAGAACAGTTTTTAAAGGGAAGAAATTCAGTCCGAACCCAAAGTATATCTAAATTGTAAATAAAAACCAACACAAACCACAAGCTGCAGCAATTAACGAGACAGGGCAGGATAAGGAATTGCAGACTTCAAAAGATAACAAAACAGTTGGGAGGACACCAGAACCCAGATAAGACTTGACAAACAAAGATAATGCACGCTTTGTTTCCAGCAAGGTGCTGTGCGCAAACACCCTTTTCAAATCCTGTTTTCCCAGCTGCAGCTAATGAAGGGAATCAGGGCCCTTTCCTCCCCCATAACCCAGGTAACTCACGTCGCTCCCTTCTCCGTTCCTCCCTGTGTGCCCCAGGATGAAGAGGGACTGGGCCTGGGTCTTCCTCTGAATGCCCAGCCGGCCTGTGCCCTTCCCCAGTTTCCTCCACAGCCACCAGAGTCACACTCCCACTCCTTGTCAGCGGCTCGACCTCCTCCTCGGAATCAGATTCCAACAGGGGCATAGACAGATGGGAGCAGGAAAAGGGAAGTCCTGGGGCGGCCCCCATAGCCGAGCCTCCAAACTGACCTCTTCCCGCACAGCACTGCCCATAAAGGAGGACCAGCTGACCAAAGCACCCCCCGCGCCCCCCCTCCCCCCGAGAGGGCCAGGAGGACATCAGGGTCAAGGTCCCAGAGGTGCTTTTCAAGGAGCAACCAGACCTTCTTTGTTCCTTCTTTGAAGGAAACAACAGGAACAATCATGGATGATGAAGAGTCTCCATGGACAGCAGGGCCAAGGATATCAAGAGGCCAAGGTGGGCCAGGAAGAATCCCCCAGCCCCAGCCAGAGGGCCCTCTGAGCAGGACCTTCCTGTCTTGGGATGTAATCGTGGTTGTTGGGGGCCCCCCCGCCCCGAGCAGTTTAGGGTGTCAGACAAACCCAGTAGAATTATTCTGCGCCTGACCTCATTTCATTTTCCCCTCTTAACTTTTTTATTAGTTTATCAAAGTATAAAATACAAAGAAAAAAACATGGAAAAGTAAGAAGAGAGGGAGGGGGAAAGAGGGGGGGGCATAGTTAGCAGGAGAAAAGAAAAAAAGCACCAACTGCTGACTCTCTTAGCGCAGTAGAAGGTAACGACAATGCAAGCACAACTTTTTGCTTTTACACACAGCAGTACGTACAAGCCATTTCTACAACAATACGCAAGTCTAGTTTACAAAAACAGAATCAAAGTTTCATTTTTTCCCCCCTCATTGCAAACACAAAATCCGGAAGCAATTTCAAAATAGAGACAAAATTAAATACAATCTCTTATTTGGATAAAAGAATCAGTTTAACCGTCTCTGCTTCCCTTTGCTGTGGAGAATAATATATCGTTCATTTTCCTGTTTTCAAATCTAGTCCATCGTATTTCACCAACTTGGGAACGTGGCCTCATTTCATTCCCAGGGACTCTCACTTGCAACTGGGCGTAGGAGTGAAGTCGGGCCCCCGTTCTGATTCAAAACTAGTCTACCCCGCTCATTAAAGCCTAAATGGGGGCTGTTGAATGAAAGAGCGTTAGATGTGGCCAGACAGGAGTCTTCAGAATCAGGCAAGGGACTTGTGCTGACCCAAAGGGGCGTGGCACAAAGGCAACACAGTCAGATAATCGGTAAGAGTCCCTTTATTAGTTCCAGCTTTGCCCCCAAGGTCCTGGTTACCTTCTGGGCTGGAGAAAAACTCTCCCAGGAACAGCCTTGGGCTGCGGAGACTCAAGTCCAAAATGTGGTCAACAAAAACTGTTGAGCTAACGAGCTAATTAGTCCGGCAGGACAGGAGCAAGAATTCCAGATGTGAAGGCACGGCAATAACTCAACATGGTTGGGAGGATGCCAGGAACGCAGATAACCAAAGTCAACACAAAATAAAGTCATGTTTGCTCCCAGCAGCTGTTGCACTCAGCATGCATCTCTTTTAAACTTTCTTCCCAGCTGCAGCTAATGAAGAGAATCAGGGCCCTTTCCTCCCCCGTAAGCCATGCAACTCACATTGCTCCCTTCTCTGTTCCTCCCTGTGTACCCTAGGATGAAGAGGGGGTGGGCCTGGGTCTTCCTCTGAACCCCCTTCCCCTTGCTCTATTGCTCCCCTGCTCTGCCCAGCCGGACTTTGCCCTTCCCCAGTTTCTTCCACAGCCCACGGAGCCACACTCCCCCGCTCCCTGTCAGCTGTTCCTCTTCCTCCTCTGATTCAGTCTCCGACAGAAGCAGGACAGCGCTCCTGCCCCACCCCCGGCCTGGTGCAACTACACAGGGCACCAACCTCCCATTCTAAGGAGAACATCTTCTCATCTCTGCAAGGGGATCAGGGCCCCTGTGGCTGGCCCAAGTTCTGCTCTCCCTCATCGACTTGCTCTTTTCTGGATGCCCACCAGCTGGCAGAGAAAGGCACTTTTACTCCTGGCTACAAGGGGGACTCCCGGGTGTTCACTCGCTGGAAATTCGGATGTGGCATTTTACCCAACCTCCCAACCTCTGGCCTCAAATCCCGGATCAGCTGCTAAATGTGCAACCATGGAGCACTTGACACCGAGTTCCAGGTAATGGCGCAGCAGTGTTTGCAACCCAACCGGCCCGAGAGGAGGCCACGAACGCTGTGCTCTTCTCCACGCGGGCAGACAGAGACCCCATTCAGCGGAGATGTTGGGAGCCTTGCCAGGCACAAGCAAGACACTCCAAATGTGCACAGCCCTGGAAAACAGCAGTCAGCTGCACAATGACTTAAGACCCATCAATTAAAGGCCTAGAAACTGAAGTACGCTTCCTTGCTTAATCCGTGGGGAAAATCTTGCCCAATTTGTGGGGAATTATGAAAGCGGTACCATGGCTCACACCCACATTTCCGTGAAAATATATACTCTCTGGTCCAGGCATGAAGCTAATGAAAATAAATATAATCCTCTTTTTTTAAAAAACAGGGAGCTCCCAGCATTTTGGGGACAGAGTGGCCTTGTATTATGCAACATGCTCAGCCGGGCTCATGTGAAATGGTGGGTTTGTGGTTCAGGGAACTCAATCTATGCGTCGCCGGCATGTAGAAATCAAGAGATAAAATATAAAGAGAAAGCATCTAATGGAGGGGTCTCCCACGTTGGCAACTTTAAGCCTGGCGGACTTCAACTCCCAGAATTCCCCAGCTGGCTTTGCTCCAAGGGAGGAGACCCCTGATTTCAAGCATGACCACACAGCAGGGTACAGCCTGAGGGCTCTTGCAGCCAGCCAGGGAAGCCCTTAACTCTTCTCCTCTTAATTCTTCTCCCCACATGCCTCGCTTGCAATTGCCAGATCAAACTTCTGCTTTCCCCTGAAACGACTCCAGGCAAGTTCAGACATGGAGTCAGGCAGAAGAGAGGCGAGGGGGAGCTCGGCAAAGACCCCTCCCAATTCAGGTTTCCCAACGTGAAATCACAGACTGAGGCCAAGCCTCTTCCCATCCATAAAGAGCCCAGCGCAGCATATATATATATTTACGTCTATGGCCCCCCTGAGAAATTAAAAACCCTGCAATGCACCAGCTATAATGTCACCACTGTTGTTGGGGAAAAAGCTGGTGCCAGGATGCTGCACGCTGAAATGGGGAGCTCAACGGGCAGGGAGGGAACACGCAATCTTTCCGTGCAACCGCATTTCGTTCTGACTTTCCCCTCCACCCTAAAAGATTTCTTCCCTACATAATAAGAGTTGTGGTTTTTGGAAGGTCCTTAATGAAAAAGGTATTTTTGCAACGATTTAGGCAGCAGCAGGTTTGGGCCCTAAAACACGCCCAAACGGGTAGAACGACTGCAGCTGTTCTACAAATTTCAAAAAGAATTCCCTTCCCTCAACAACGCAACTTTCTGTGATTTGGGTTGGAAGGGTGAAGGCAACGCAAGAGTGTCGACCCCCCATGTTCACAGGGTCTCTCCAAGCACCTCCAGAGGCACCTGCTCAGCAGCCTCTTGCAGGACACAGCTGCAGGGTGGGGGGAGGCTTCTGCCCCCCCCCCTCCAATGCTGCACCTAATGTGGAGGCGCCTCTCCTTAAGGCCTGCTCGGTTGCCAGTGGCTGCATAATCGGCAGCGGCCGTACCCAGAAGGGCCCGCCAACACCTCAGGGGGCTTCTGGGCCAGGGGTCTCCACCCTTGGCCACTTTAAGCCTCAGGAAACCCAGGAAACCCCCTCCCCCAAGGCTTGGGCCACCTGGCAACACAACCTCTGGCCAGGCAACCAGGCTTTGCTGGCTGGGGAGTTCTGGGAGTGGAAGTCCGCCAGGCCTAAAGGGCCAAGGTTGGAGACCCCTGTCCTGGGCAGTTGCCAAGGTGCTTCTCCTCATATCTCGAGCCCCACTTCAGAGGCATTTTCCTCGGGGGAGGGGGCCCTTCAGAAACCGGGAAAAAAGCCACTTCCCACTTGACCCCTCCCCCCACCCAAAGCCCCCACTTACTTTTCCGAAGTCCCGCACGTCGAAGAGGTCGAAGGGGTCGAAGAGCTCGCTGTTCCGGAGGCCAAACTTGTCATGGCACACTTTCAGGAAAGTCCGGATGTTCTTCAGGCAAAGGAACTGCAAGAAGAAGGGGAGCCCTTGGTGAGCCTTTTCCCACAGAGACCCCCACAATGGGGAGGGGTCTGGAAGGAGAAAACCCTCCCCCCACTCCCTCCGGCTGTGGCCTAATCCCAAATCGCCAAATCCAAGCGGTGGGGGTGGGGAAGAGGGGCAGCAGTCTCTCAGACACGGAAGACACACAACACCCATAATCCTGGGTTCACACAGCCTAGGGGACTCACCCAGGTCCAGTGCCCAAAAAGCAAGCCAAAGATTGGCCCCAAGGAAGCTAGAGAGACCCCTGCCCCGGCCCCTCCTCGCTCAGATTTGGTGGCCAAGGGAATCGAGGGCTTTTGGGAGGGTCTCGACAGACGCACCAGAGCGTCTCCAACCTCCCCGCTGACTTCCCCACTTTTGCATTTTGCACACACACACACACACACACACACACACACACACACACTCCCATTCTGCTCAAATCCCCCTGTGTGTGTCCTGAGGACTAGTCGCTTCTCAGCCTTTGCTGGAGGCAGGAGAGGCAACCCTGCAAAGGGGTTATTAAACAAGGTTATTTTTTTAAAAAATCAAGACCTGGCTTATGATTATATTTTGTGCACCATTTTCTTTTAGCTGCGATATTGAACTGATGCCAAGGAAGCTCTGGTGCCCCTGGACAAGGCTGGGCCTGGCGGTGGGCAGCTCTGCATAGAGTCCGGTGAGCCTCCTTCACTCCCCACCCTTGAGCCTAAAGCCGCAGGGCGGGGTGGGAGGGGGCTTCCTTCCCAGGCCTTGACTGCCCTCCGGACCCCGCGAGGGGGGCTTCGGCTCCTCCCTCCAAATACAGAACAAGCCAACGGACCGAAGAGGTGGGAAGACCCTCTGGGCACACCAGCACAGTCCCTGGCCGCCTGGCCAGAGGTGTGTTGCCAGGTGGCTCACTGCCCAAGCCTTTTTTTGGTGGGGGGTGTTCCTGGGAAGCTGCCAGCTTTTCTGGGCGAGAGAGGCAGCGATGGATGCTGAAAGAGCCTCCCTTGGGCCCTTTCTGGCTGCGAGGCAGGGCTGGGCCGCTGCTTATCTCGCTGTAAGCGGAGCCAAGAAGTCACTGAGCTAAAGAAAAATGCCCCTCTTGGGAGGGGGAGGCACTTGGGTGTGTTGAGAGGGGGCTTTCCAGGAGTGGCTGCTGCAGCTGGGAGGCAGGGGGACAGGCTAAGGGGTGGAGCCCCACTGATACTTCCCCCCCCCTCGCTCCAAGACCCCAGAGAGAGACCTTCCCTCCCCCCCCTGCCCCTCCCCCCATTGCCTATCGGTCTTGCTCTGCAAAATCCAGCGTGTTTCTCCTCTGAATGGCTCCCTTTTCCTTGCAGGGGAGGACAGAGGAGGCTGCTCTTGGAGGGGCCTCTGCCCATTGGAGGCTGCCCCACACAGAAGAGAGCCTCCCCCCCACCGCAAAAGACAGAGCCAAGCTGTTCTCTGCAGCGGGTGAGCAAAAGGCTCTGAGCATTTCACACGCACACACACACACACAAAAGGAGCATCTTTGAAAAGCTGGAATTCCGATTCCAAAGCCTGCGAGAGCCTGTCCGAGCCGACCCCCTCCACACGGCCCGTCCCCCCTCCCTCCACTGGGCCTTCCCCAAATCAGAGGGCAGCCCTCCCTCTTTCCTAGGGACCAAGAGACCAGCTTCGACTTTTCCCTTCATTGCACGGCTGGACTCACACAAAGCAGCCCTGGAGGCAGTTTGGGGGTTTGGGGGCAGCCTGGCCAGTGACCCACCTCCTGGCCAGGTCATTCGGGTCCCCGATCCAGCCCCCCTTAAGAGGCTGCTCCTTCTGACCCCTCTCTCCCTCCGCCCTTCACGACCGACCTAAGCGCAGCAGGAGAACAAGAGGAGGAAGAGGGTGGAAAGCCCTGGAGGGGCCTTCCGGGAGAATGGCTGGCCTGGAGGAGAGGCGGCTGGGGCAGGCAGATCCTCCGCTTATCAGGCCGGGCAGAAAAAAAATGACATCCCCGTGAGAGGAAATTAGATTTCGCTTCGGTCTCCACTGACGAGGAGATCGGCTGCTGCCGCTGCTCTGTATGACGCAGGGGGGCTGTGAAGAGAGCTGGGCAGGGAGACCCTCAGGCCTCCTCTCGCAAGGCAGCCCCACCGGGGGCTCCTCCTACGCCTGCCCCCTCCCTGGCGAAGGAGGGCTGCCTCCCCCTGCCCACCCACCCCCAAAGCCTCTGCTAACAGGAGGCCAGAGCTAAGGGGGGTGCCAAGCGTGTGTTTTCTTTGCAGGGACAACCGAAAATCAAAACACAGATCTCCTAAGTTTTCACTAGTGGGGAGTACAGACCCCTCGCTGCCTCACTTATGGCAGGGGGTCTCCAACCCTGGCCGCTTTAAGCCCGGAGGACTTCAACTCCCAGAATTCCCCAGCCAGCCGTGTCTGTTTCTTTCTCTCTTACCAGCTAAACTGAAGGCATTGCAGAGGAAGGGATTACAAGAGAGCAAGCTTTGCTGGCTGGGGAATTCTGGGAGTTGGAGTCCTCCAGGCTTAAAGCGGCCAAGGTTGGAGACCCCTGACTTATGGAACTCACCACCACAAGAACCATAGCAGGATTACGGCAGGGCGTGGGGGAAGGGGAGGCTCCTGGCAACAAAGTGGTGAGACCAGCTACACAATTCCAGAAGCTCAGCTGATGTCTCTGCTCCCGTGGCCCCTTCTTCACACAAACACACAGGTGCACAACCCCCCCGGACTGCTGCCTCGCCTCCTTTCTCTCCCTGAGGTCCGAAGCAGGACAAAGAGACATTTGCAAATTTACCAGGCTAGAATCTGGGACGACCCGAGTTCCAGTCCTGCCCCGACAGGAAACCAGCAGGCTGACCTTGCGCCAGTCCCTCCTTCAGAGCCCCAGGAAAGACACAATGGCTTGCCTGAAAATCGCCAGGATTTTATCCAGGCAGTCGCCGGGCGCTGACACTGACTGGAAGCCCCCCGCCCGGCCCCTCGCCCGGTTCATGCCAGCCAGAAGCTGCTCCCACTCCTCTTTTCTCAAGGGAAAGACGCTGAGGTAAATTCAATGCAAAGCTCAGAATCTTAGAATAGAGCTGGAAGGGGCCTTGGAGGTCTTCCAGTCCAGCCCCCTGCTCAAGTAAGAGATCCTATACCACCTCAGACAAGTGGCTGTCCAGTCTCTTCTTAAAAGCCTCCAGGGATGGAGCAGCCACGATTTCTGGTGGCAAGCAGTTCCCCTGGTTCATTGTCCTCCCTGTGAGGAAGTTTCTCCTCAATTCCAGGTGGCTTCTCTCTTTGATCAGTTTCCACCCGTTGTTTCTTGTCCTGCCCTGGAGGACAATTTGGAGAATAATTTGACCCCCAGCTCTTCTTTGGGGCAGCCCCTCAAGCCCTGGCATCCTGCTCCCAGGTCCCATCCGCACAAGGGAAGCGGACATCGCACCGAGGCAGAGAGCGGCTCCCAAAGGCAGAGAGGCCCCCACGGACGGCCTGGCCCCCAAAGCAGGGCTGCTCCTGATAACTGATCGGGGTGTTTCTTTTGGGGAAGGGGGGAATCAGCTCATGCCAAAGTGGCTCTTCTGACTCAGGCTTTGAGGGCCCACAAGGAAAATGCCACAAAGCGTTCCCCCCAAAAGCAGCATTTGGGGGGGGGGGCTTTCATGCAAGAGCCGCCCCCCCCCCCACCGGATTCAAGCAGGGAAGCAAATTTCTCCTGAAAATGGGATCGAGCCCAGCAGAGAGGCTGGGCACGAAGAGCAACGGAGTGCCAGCCCCGGGCGGGCGCCTGGGGCCCTCGCAGGCCGCCATCTAGATCAGGGCGTAATGCGTAGGCTCCTCCACCCTGCACGGCGAAGGCAGCCCCGAGGCACAAAAGTTCCCCTGTGAAGCAAGCTATCACAAGGCATGGAAACAATCTGAGCCGCTCAGCCGGCAGGAGGGTGGAGATGGGGGGATAGCCAGCCTCGGCCTCTCCCTCCTCCACAGTGAGCCTCCTTCGACCAGGGCAGCTCTTTCGCCCAAGTAGGGAGGAAAAGGTATCAGCAGAGCAGGGATGCTGAGCTTTGTCTGGCCCCTGGATGCGGTTTCCAGCAAGGTGGGGGGGCAGGGGGGTCTTCTCCCCTCTTTAGGAGCAAAAGCCCCCTCCCCCCTCTGTGCAGCTCTGTAGGCTGCCTGACACCAGACCCCACCTGCCCAGCCTCCCTCCTCCCCAGCAGGAATGAAAGGGGCCTGCCCCTCTTTGGCACACCTGCAGAGCCTTCACCGGGGCGCCTCCCAAGCCAGGAGCAAGGGGCACCCACCGCCCCCTTGTCCAGGCAGGGCAAGAGGAGGAGGCCTTCTCAGCCAAGGGGCTCTTTGAAGTCCCTGGTAACGCTTCCCCCTGCAGCCCCGTAGGGGTACCAGAGCACAGCACACACCCCCACGCCCCCCCCAAAAGTCTGCCTGGAGACCTTGTGCCAGCCAACGTGGGGAAGGGGCTACAAGGCCTCGAGCCGGGGCAGCTGGCCAACCCCCCACTCACCCCCTCGGATCAGCCCCCTCCCAGAGGCCCCGAGGCATTCTTCTCAGGGGCCCTGAAGAGCAAACCGCCCCGGAGACCCCAGAGGGGCCCAGCTGCCCCTCCCTCATTCTGGGGACCCCAAGCTCGGGCCGAGTTTGTTCCGGCAAAGGAGAAAACGCCAAAGGCGAAGTTTCTGTGTAAGAAAAGAGGGTGAAGGAAACGCCCACCCTCAACTCCAATGAGCCAACTAAGAACGCTGTGCTTGTGCAGAGCCCCCCGTGGAAGGAAGCCCCTCCTGTGGGTGACCCCGTGGACACAGGGACACCAAGCAAGAATCCCTGAAAGGCAGGTGGAGAGAAGGCCCAGAACGCAGAAGAATAGAATTGGAAGGGCCCTTGGAGGTCACCTAGTCCAGCCCCACTCAAGCAGGAGACCCTCTACCATTTCAGACGAATGGCGGTCCAGTCTCTTTTGTCAAAGTCTTCCAGTGTTGGAGCTCCCACAACCTCTGGAGGCC